TGACCTGTCGCATGATGTCACCAGTTGGTCAACTCAATGTATGTACACTCCAGTCCACTCCACTCCAGTCCAGTTCAATCCAATCCAACTCAGCTCCCTCCAATCTCTTCTACTGCATATTTGTGAGGTGATGGGTTCTTGGTTGGTTGGTTGGTTGGTCGGTTGGGTGACTGGTTGGTTGGTTATTCGACTGGTTGACTGGTTGTTTGTTTGGTTGTGGGGCCAGTCAGATTTCCGTGTGCTTTGTGTCTTCTTGCTTATTCCCATTATCCTGGCCATCTGATCTCCATCTTCAGTATTGAGGGAGTGTAGATGGTAGCTGTTGATGTGTGTGTGGGTGTGTGGTTGTAAATGCATTTCGTGATGCACCAAGTCTCTCAAGCATCACATGGAAGCACAGACCTAGTAGACCGAGTTAGTGTTGGAAATCGGTATGTTGTTCACACTTTATGCTGAGTTCAGTGTAGTGTTTGTGACTTGCTGTTCAGTTCAATGCAGTGCAGTGCAGTGTAGTGTAGTGTAGTGTTCAGTGCATTGCAGTAGATCTCTTCACTGTTTATTTCAGACTAATACAGGAAGACCAGTCTTTGTGTTTTTCTGTTCCTGGCTTTGATGTCTTCATGTATGCGTGTGCTGGTACTGTAGTTGGAACGATGTGATGCTGCCTAGGTCGTTGGGTAGGTAGGTGGGAATGTATGTTAGTAGTTAGTTGGAGGGGACAACTTACTTTTTATTTCTCCCAATGATGGTGATTGGTACTTGTTGTTGTTGTTGGTAGGGTGTCTTCATCACCCCTATCTCTGACTGTCTCCTCTACGTTCACCAGAAGAAGGTACCGTCTTCCTTCGGTGCCTCGTCTCACCTCACCTCTTCTGCCAACTTCTTAGTTTTCGTCTGTACATCTTCGAGTTTTTGCGACAAGACATTAGACATAAATCATCATCGATGGCGAAATCCAAATCTTCTTCTGAGATCTTCTCATTGGTCAAACAGCCAACGTATACCCATCTTCTCACCCCTCACAGTTGTCTGTTGCGTGATGATCCAGTCCAGTCGAGTGCAGTCGATCACAATCAGGAAGATGATTGGTGATAGTGGGTGGCAGTCTTATCTGAATTCTTCCTGTCTTCACCTCAAAGGTGTCAGTGAATTGAGCTTTCCATTGAGAATCACGTGGGTGACATGTAGTAACACATAGCGTATAAGTGAAACTGTAGTTTTGAAGCAGCAGTTGTCAAATTACTTCTCGGACGACGTTGACGTATGTTTTTTCGAAATCAATGAATTTGAGGTGAAGATGCGGTTGACTGGCATTTTATGCTCTGTTCTATGATGATGCCGATTGTAGTGTTGAAATTCGATCCCCACATATTTTGTTTTCCTGAAGCCAGTCAGCTTGTCCCGGTTGTAATTTTGAATCCTGAGTACTGTTTGGTTTCTCCATGATGATGTGGCTCGATATTTTGATTTGGGTGGACAGCAGCATAATTCCTCACCAGTTCTTGCAAACACTTAAGTCTCCCTTCTTTGGACATCTCACAAAGTAGTCCTTTCTTACATTCGGTAGGTAACTTTCCTCCTTTCCTTCCAAACCTTCTGTAATAGTGTTGTTATCACGTCCGCTGTTGCCTCTGCGTCTGTGCGTCAGTGCTTCTGGAGGACTTCCATCTGGTCCTGGTGCTTTTCCGGATTTCAGCATCCTTATGGCGTTTAGGACTTCTGCTTGTGTCACAGAGCTCATTTTCACTGGTAATTCTGTAGCTAGGCCGCTGGTAGTATTTCAGGACGAGTTGCAGGTGGTGTTTGCGGTGGTCAATTCAAGAGTTTTTGAAGTGGTCAACACATCGCTTCTTTTGTTTCTCTTCTTTGGTGATGAAGTTTCCTTCACTATCTTTCATTGTTTTTATCTGTGTTAATCTCTTCACAGATAGTAGGTAACCTGGTTATTTGATACATTATTCATTTATGAAATTATTTACTTCCCATATTTACATTATTTGTGTGATCTATTACCGAAGATCAATAATTTACAGCCCCTTCCAATTCTCCAGATCTGTCCATCAGGAAGAGAGATGACGGCACTATCAAGAAAACCATTTATCACAAAGATAATTTAGACAAGTCAGTATGAAAATTTCATCAGCTTCTTTCAAAGGAACTAAACACAGTGGTTGGTTAGGTCATCATTTGATAGAGCAAGAAACCTATGTTCCAAATGTATATTACGGGACGAACTGACTATTGTCGAAAGGAATCTGTCAGATAATGGATTTGTGAAAACGTTTATTAGTATATAAGGAAAAGAAACATAAGAAAACCGTCTCAACAATCGACAGGAAGCCAAGTTTCACTTTAAGGGAGACAGTACTACAGAACAAGTGAATAAGAGTCTCAGAGTTTGGTAATATGAGCGCTCTTTCTCAATCGAACGTGAATAAGCACCCATTACACGTCATTTCCAATTCCAGGTTTATGTGTACTTATCAAACCAAGCATATTAGAAAGACATTTAAATGATTTAATATATGACGTAGATATATCAACTATTCTCAAAATAATCAAGAAAAGAAGTGCAGTCCTACTTCACTTCTCGGAATCGATCTCAAGTTCAAATTAATCTCCATGTATATGAGAATACAATGAATCTGATTTTGTCCTGGTGACAATTCTTTGACCTTACGATGTGATCTTTCCCCATATCTTGCTTACCTACAGATTTGAATTGACTACTTCCTATAATTATCTTCTAACACATCTTGCACTGGGTCTCACATTATGACAAAAAACCAAAACTTTTATCATCATCAACATAGGACCAGGCATTACTGTTTAACGGTTCAAGTTGCCACACCTTACATCAGTACATCAGATAAAAAGGCAGTAAAGTGGAAGATGAAGATAAGAAAATGCAGTCCAAAGAAGTATGAAGTACGAAAGAGAGAAAGGAATAATGACGAATTGGTGAGAATCAGTATAGTGCTAAGATGAGGATAATGTATGTATACATCTGAGTCACTGACATTGATTGTGAACCATATCATCTAGAGTCTCCAGCCACTGGTTTCTGTTGCCCTTTAGACCCTAACCACCTATTCTGCATCGCCCCACATGGCCCAAGCCAACAGTCAAACACTTCATACACTGATGACATGTTTTAGTCTGACCACCTCGAGCCTTTCTCCGGCCTGGACCCACTTCGGCCAACATTGTGTGACGAGGAAATCGGCGACTTGGTTCACGTAACATGTGGCCAAACCATCTCAGTCATTGAAGGTTCATAACCTCGTCATGTGATTTGCCTCTTCTCCCTATACATCTACACCTGGCTTCTGTGTTGCCCACATGGTGACACCATGGAATACGGCCTATACTACGAAGGTAATAGTGGTCAAACACTTGAAGCTTTCTCATGTCTTCCACCTTTAGTGGTCATGTTTCACAGCCATACAGTAGAAGAGAGCGAACTGCTGTGCAGTAAACGCGACCCTTAATAGACAACTGGATATCACAGCGATGCCACAGGTGGCGTAAGTTGACAAAAGCCAGCTGAGCCTTTTGTATTCGTGGATAGATTTCATCGACCTCTGAGCTACCAGGGTGGGGTTGTTCTACTTCCTAGGTAAATGAAGTGGTTGACACACTCAATCCTAGAGGAATAATTTGCATTTGGGTGGCGAGAAACGCATCCCAAACATTCTCAAATTGCTACTTTTATTTTTCTTTACTTTTTAAAACTCTTGAATCCTCTTCTCAGTTACTTATAAGTTGATGTTTAATGCTGTTTTACCAGAAGCCAATCAATTCATATATTACATTAATAATGAGTTGTGGTTATCAGTGGAATCCAGGATGCGCATTTCGTCCTAATTGGGACTCGTCAGCTGGATGTACCTGCTTCCCAGTGAGTGATGTTGTTCCCACCGGGACTCGAACTCGGGGCCGAGCGCCTCAAACGCCAAGGTGCCATGCACTACACCACCGATCCACGATAGCCACTTCTTGTGCGAAGGATATAGGTTTAGTATAATTACAATATAATTACAACACAGGCAATATCGAGACATACACACAGGAGCCTGTATGCCAATTGAGACCGATCAATTCGGTCCAGGCAACGACGGTGTCATATAAAAACAATTATACTAAAACTATACCCGTAGCACAAGAAGTGGCTATTGTGGCCCGGTGGTGTAGTGGATAACGCTCTGGCGTTTAAAGTGATCGCTCCCGAACTCGAATCCCGCTGGGAACAACGTCACTCACTGGGAGTCGGCAGGTGAATCCAGCTGACGAGTGAGTCCCGAATAGGATAAAAGACGCATCCTGAATTCCACTGCTAGCCACGATCCACCATTTATATAATCACCACGCAGGCAATATCGAGGCATGAGCACGGGAGCCCATACAGTAACAGAAACCGATCAATTCGGTCCAAGCAACGATGGTATCACATAAAGAAAATTATACTGTAATTTATATATTCCTTCAATTCAACAAAAATAGAGGTTTTGATTTTCCTATTCCCATGTAAGCAGCTGAAGAAAAACCTAGGAATAAAATATGCCACTGTTTGGTAAATCTGGTTATTCATGCACTGATAAAGGCTGATGATAAATGTTGTCTACCAAGGAAATTCACAATCTATGTTTATTATATGTAACATTGTACATCCCAATGCATCCATATTCAAGTTGCTGTGATCGTTGGGACTCAAACCTAATATCTATCACCTTAGGCGATAGAACTCTACCCAATAAACTACTAATTAATGTTATTATCTTACTTCTATATGAAGTCCTATGAAATGTTTACTTCCATAAAGTGATCTACTATGACATCGAAGCAAAGTTGTATTCATACTTAAACTGATTTCTTCATCAAGAGTTCAAGATACTTAAGATCCACTTGTAATGTCAGTAACATTACTTTAATGTATCATATGATACAACGCTAAGTGTGACTATGAGTCATTGTGAAATATGAAGTTATAAGTCAAGGAATTAATCATAAGACACAAGTTTATTATATACAAGGAACATTGCTTAAATATAATATTCATATATAACAGGCATATACATATATATTACATGACAGTTACAAAAGAACTCATTTTCTGATCAACATATCTACACTTTGACCCGGTTTTTACAAAAGGAACTGAATCAGTACAATAAAATAACTCTATATTACCTAGTGTTCACAATACTTGTTAATTCTTGATAATACACACAATCTTTGAAAAGAAGAAATACTTTTTAAATCCTTCATACTGTAATGAAGAATACGTGTCAATTTTAACAGTCTATCCACCAAGAACGTCATCATCATCATCATCATCATCCACGCCTTCCGTAAATCTGTCACAATCACTTATTTCTCCTAAATTTGTATTATCACTTAAGCTTACCCAATCGAATGCAGTCACACCACTTGTTATCACTCTTGTTGGTGAAGTCGTCATCAATTTATTGACTGGAGCTGTTGTAGACGCTGATTCCGGTATGGAAAGTGGTGTTCGTTCTTGATTTTCATCGATTATATCAAGTTTTGAATTGCCCACTGATGATGATTTTGCTTCTAAGCCTCTAGATCTGATGAAATTTATGAGTAATTCATGTATTCTTTCATAACCTTTTTCTGTACATAAAGATAAACAATCATTTTCCATACAGTCAATAATTTCAATTTTGGCTTGTTTATTTAATAGAAATTCTACAGCTTCTTGGCAACCTTCACGTATAGCTAACATGATTGGTGTTCTCTCCCAGTCATCTTTCATATTCATCAGTCTAGTAAAACCTTTACATTGAGCTAGACGATTTAATGTTGTAATGGAATTAGTTACTGCTGCCCAGTGTACCACATTACGGCCGTACTGATCAGTTGTGTTGTATGGACAACCTTCATCTAACAAAATTTTTACTACTTCATCATTTCCTGCTTGAATAGCTGCTATAATTGGTGTACAATGACGAGATTTATAGGCTTGGTATCGTTTTCTTGAACGAAAATTTGTCTTGGATGTTACAGTTTGTTGAGATTTAACAGGTTTTATCGACTTCTTATTAGCCAGAGCTTCTCTTTCTAGGTGATACAATGAGTTAATTGATTCTAGTGAATTGGCTGCAGCAGCGCTAGTTAAAGCTGTTCTACCTGATGAGTCGATAAATAAACTATTAAATGATTTTTTATCACATGCATTATGACATATTTTAGTGATAACATCATGGCCAGCATTCATTTGAGCTGCTAAATGAAGGATACTTTGATATTGAGGATTATTTTCCAATACATTCGCCTCTAAATACTCTTTATCTTTAGTGTAATCAGATAACCTCCTCTCGTACCTACTCTTGTTATCATGTAGGGTTAGGAGCTTTTCAATTTGATTCTGTTGTACAACATTACATGGATGTAAACCATCCATTGAAGCAATGATTTCAACTAGTTCATCATTCATAGAATTATCACAACTAATTTCCTTTTGACTATTTTGAAGTACACCCGTAATTTGTTTGTTCAAATTTAGATCACTCGAGTCGGTTGTTTCTTGATTTGCCTGGAGCATAGATGAATGAAATTTCTTGTCGAGGTTCAATTGACTCTCTTGTTGTTGACATTTATCCCTTTCTTCATCATATTGATAACTTTCATTGTGTTTAGTACAAAAATTGTCGATACATTTTGGAACGGCAAATGAATGTCCGTCATCAGATAAGACTTCCCGCATCACCTTCTCCTGGTATAATATTAATAAACAAAAACGTAAACAAACAAAAGGAAGTGAAGAACCAAGAACTTTATATGGATAAAAATAATTCTATACACTGTCTTGGAATTATTAGGTTAAACAAATCCACAGCGATAAATTCCAAAGAATCTAATTGATTATGATAATTTACTTGCCTGAGGCAGGCAGAGGAAGCCAGGACGCACGTTTCGTCTAATTTAGGACTCATCAGCTAGATGTACATGCACTACTGTCAGTAATGTTGTTCCCACTAAAATCGGTATTCAGACAATATCTTCATTGGAGCCGATGTGCAAAGAGAGGCCTAACAATTCCACCGAGTTTCACAACGGAGAATGACAACCATATCAACGATTGGTAATATAATTAATTAGTTTAAACAGTTAACTGGAATATTTTAAGATTAAACGATTCTAAAAAATATGACAGAAAATTTGACGAGAGCGCTCACATCAGTTCTAGCTGGTGTTTCTGCATCGTTCTTCATTTCTGCAAATATTAACGGGAAGAGGTCTTGTAAAATATGTATTAGTTACGCCATTATTAGTTTTATGAACACTCACAAATGATTCACTTAAAAATTTCAATTGGATTGTTACAACAGAACATAGATAACACCATTAACTTCTTGAATCTAGATCTCATCCTTCTACTGAATATATGATATCTTTTGTCAAATACTTTTCTAATGAAAATCTAAAGTGATAAATGAATCAGCTGTCATAACTTGCATCAAACAACCATATACAGCACGTGGTGAAATCACCCTATTTCGGATCAACAAACCTTCGAATAACAATTAAGGTAGGGAAGAAGTGGGCAGCAAAGTCCTCAAGGTGTATAAGGACAGTTGGTGGTTTACTGATACTTTTTATCATCCGAAATGCCTGATCAACGTCGTGACGAAAGTAGATATGTCCGAGTCAGCATGTTATCAGGTACACACATCTCAGCAGATTAGGTAGTAACAATAACTCCTTTCGATGTCATCAATTCAATGCCAAATATACTAAATAGTCGACAGCAGTATTTCCCTTGGCTTCATTTCAATTACATCACCGAGAGAAACTTAAAATCTGATTGTTTGTTCACAAACACTCAGTCATTCACTTCAACTGCCTAGTTAGAACAATACGAATAGAATATTTGCTACTGCATTCAATTACTCAATCATGATGTACAACTTAGATTGCTTCACTTCTTCACTCTTACTCTATATCCATCTACGTTCCCAGATATCACGTGTCTCCCCTGTTCCAAAAGTTCTCCTTTTAATTATTACATGACCATTACTAATATTCCATTATTGTTCATTTTCCTTCAGGTTTCTAGTGGAACAAAGGGATTTAGTAGCACGTCACCACTTCACTCTCCTCTCCACACTCTTCTGAACCTGATTCCACCACTACCAACAAGCTTTCATTTCTCCCTCACACCATCCATCTCACCATGTCATCAATGTCACCCTCACCTCCGTTGCACAACTAGTCGTTTCCCATTTGGTTTCCTTCCACTCAACAGCCTGATCTGACCTGTCGCATGATGTCACCAGTTGGTCAACTCAATGTATGTACACTCCAGTCCACTCCAGTCCAGTCCAGTCCAGTTCAATCCAATCCAACTCATCTCCCTCCAATCTCTTCTACTGCATATTTGTGAGGTGATGGGTTCTTGGTTGGTTGGTTGGTTGGTCGGTTGGGTGACTGGTTGGTTGGTTATTCGACTGGTTGACTGGTTGTTTGTTTGGTTGTGGGGCCAGTCAGAAGTCCGTGTGCTTTGTGTCTTCTTGCTTATTCCCATTATCCTGGCCATCTGATCTCCATCTTCAGTATTGAGGGAGTGTAGATGGTAGCTGTTGATGTGTGTGGGTGTGTGGTTGTAAATGCATTTCGTGATGCACCAAGTCTCTCAAGCATCACATGGAAGCACAGACCTAGTAGACCGAGTTAGTGTTGGAAATCGGTATGTTGTTCACACTTTATGCTGAGTTCAGTGTGATGTTTATGAAATGCAGTGCAGTTTAGTGCAGTGTAGTGTAGTGTGTAGTGCATTGCAGTAGATATCCACACTGATTTATATTGAATGAAGACCTGTCCTCGTGTTTTTCTGATGCTGGCTTTGATTTCCTCATCTGTGCGTGTGCCACCACCTGTAGTTGGAACGATGCGATGCTGCCTAGGTATATGTGTAGATAGGTAGGTGTGTAGGTAGGTAGGTAGGTAGGTGAAAGTGACAACTACCATCGGATTTCTCTCGTTGATGGGGATCGGTGCTTGTTGTAGTTTTACTTGTAGTTGCTGCTGTTGTTGGTAGGGTATCTTCATCACCTCTATCTCTGACTGTCTCCTCTACGTTCACCAGAAGGAGGTACCGTCTTCCTCTGCTGCTTTGCCTCGACCCACCTCTTCTGCAAACTTCTTAGTTTTCGTCTGTACATCTTCGAGTTTGTGTGACAACACATTAGACATAAATCTTCATCGTTGGTGAAATCCAAATCTTCTGCAGCCATTGCTGTCGGTAGACACTATCTTGAATATTTTTACTACTAATTCACTCTTATTGATGGATGGAAGATATTCTAGTAAAATGCAATTAGTTTCTTGCCCTCTGTAATCCCTATCATTCTCCGTTGATTCTATCTAACATTCAGACAGTTGTTACTTAAAACCAGAATCATTTGAAACTAGAAACGGCTCACTAGTATGCCTGGCCTTCTACTGCCATCCAGAAGACGCTTAAGGCTTCTCACAATCATTCGAGCGTTGAGTGGTTGAAAATGACTTCCGGGATTGGAATGTTATCAATGCCATAGAGGATTATTTGTCTCCACAGTTGGTTTGGTTGAACCCGTAAGTAAAAGCTTCAAATTAGAACACTGAGTTTCTTGTTTATGTATCTTCTACTGACAGAATGCATTCATGGTACATAGTAGAGGGAAGAATTGGGACGTAATGGCTTTGAAATTATAGGTAGCTGTTAACTAATGAGTGATTGTGTTGTAAAGTGGTATATATTCTACCTAAACTTTGAGTATTTCTAAGTAAGACTGTTACGAATCTGCACAGTGTTGTGACTCATGCATTTTATTCCTCAAATCTCAGTTTTTAAATATACTGAGAACTGTTGAAATAATGATTGACCAAAGTTAAAGTAATGCACTGTTAGGAAATATCCTTTGGCCGAAACGCTCAACAAGTAGTGATTGAACTTTTGATTTTATTTGCAACTATGACTACATAGTGTATACTGGTGACTTTATAGGTACCTTTTTCATTCTGAAAATTGCCAATGTTTTTTAATATCTACCTATGCGTCAATTTATTCTATAAGTTAAGCTGCTTTGCCATATTTTATGTCTTTTGATTGCAAATTTTTCATTTCTTAGCAACATTTGCAATGTGCTAGAGTATAGTTGCACCACAGTCATAGTAGGTTCCCACCATCCTCACACATGTAAACATTTCGCTTACAATTCAATTTGATCTAATATGGAATACATTCATAAAATTATACGTCAAAATTGACATTATCTGTACAAATACTGTGAATAATATACCAAGCATGTTCTCTCTTCAAACTTTAAATTGCTAGAAAAGTATATGCCTCCAAGAAATCTGTTGGTGTTCTACGCCTAATGACGCTACAAGCTGTTACATTCTAAGTATACTAACGCTACTTGTCATTATGTCTCATTTGACTGCAGAAACTTTTTATTAGAACCAGGATTAAAAGTGTACCCTAAACTGATATTTAGTATTCACCGTAGGAAAAATTTTGAAAAATGGATAGTAAGAAGTTAGAAAGTTTTTGGAAAGACTACTACTTAAAAATAAATTTATATTTGATGATATATGCTGCAAAAGCTTATGATAATACTGATCATGTGAGATTATTTTTCTTAGTAACCTTTCCACTATGCTTCTTCTGGGTTCATAGGTGAACAGTATTTCACTGGAAGTAATTCTAACTTTATTAACCTATACACGTAATACAACTGTCCACAAATATAATATATTCTTTCTGTCCAACCAAAAACTGGTTTTCAGACACTCTTCTTAGGAAAATGCTTAAGTTTATTGATCATATCCCTAAAATTTCATATTGTTTTCTCTACTGAGAAATGTTTTGTTAAAATGAATCAGTGGTTAATAATTTCGCTGTCGTGCAAACACGCACACTAATTTTAAAATGTTTTTAAGTGTATTCTAAATTAAAAACAACTTTATGTTTTCACTAAAAGGGTTGGGTCTTGATAATTAATTTTTCAGCAGTCCAACTATTATCAAACATATACCATCATATTATTGTCAGGAATTCTTTAGAATAAATATATCCAGTATTAAACTAGTAAGACAGTAATGCTGTACTTATCCAACCCTTTTTAAATAAAATCCTTTTTTGATAGAAGTTTTGATGACAAGTACTAGTTAGTTAGTTAGCTTGAAGGCTTTACATAAATTGAATCACTGGAACACTGCTTGTATGGATAAGAGAGTTTCTTATTGGTAAGAGACAAAGAGAAAGAATCAATTCTCAACTCTCCTCTTGGATTCGGTACAGAGTGTCATGACACAGTCCTCTGTCCCTTGCTATTTCTTCTACACATAAATGAACTGCCAAACACCATGAAATCCCCTGTATTTCTCTAAGTTGATGTAAAAATCTGGTGGGGAATTAAGAATGATGAGGATATACGTGCACTTCAGACAGACTTAAACAGCTTGTTTAGATCAGCGAAGTGGCTTATACTTGTCAACGTAGTTTAATGTGTAAGTTTACACGGTTAATATAGTATTAAATCTAGTTGTAGTTACGCCTTTTGATTCTTACTGTGTGCATAAAACACTATGATAACAATATGCTTCATGACTCTAGAGAATGAAAGTTACGATTTAGAACAGAATCATTAAGAATCTTCAATCCAGCATAGTATTAGAATATCCATCTTATGAATCAGTCACATATATCTTGAAAAAGTGAACAACAAA